GTCTCAGAAGAGAGTGTGAGTAAGTCTCTGTTTCCTTCTGTTGGAAAACATTGCCGTTCCTCCATTTCTTCCAATTGACTGATATTACTGGATTTGATGTAAGTCTGATACTGAACTGTTTTTTGACACTGGACTTTGATATTTGGATTATCCCTGGATTGAAAAAACTGGCTGATTTACCTGTGAATGACTTTTGGACTGCCTATTTTGGACTTTTGCTTTAAACCTTTCTGGAGGTAAAAACCTACATTTGCTGTACAGTGTATCTGTGTGCTTTGTGTGTGTATTATTCAAACACTTCTCTCAAATACGTCTCCCTGTATGCGCTCATTCTCCTAACGGGGAATTACCTCAACAAAGAGGCTGAGTCTTTCTGGACCAACGACACCTTGGACATCCCGGGCCTAACCCAGTTTAGGCAGACCAGCACCCCAGCCTCACCTCTACCCCACCTCCCCAGCTGCCTTCCTTGCACCCGGTTCCCATATAATCTTAAGGACTGGAAAGGACCTGGGAGGTCTTCTAGTCTAGCTCCCTATGGAAGCAGGAGTCCCTTTATCATTCCAGACAAATGGTTGTCTAATCTCTTCTTGAAAATCTCCAGTGTTGGAGCACCCACAACTTCTGGTGGCAAGAAGTTCCACAGGTTGATTGTCCTCCCTGTTAGGAAGTTTCTCCTTAATCCCAGGTTGCTTCTCCCCTGGATCAGTTTCCATCCATTGTTTTTTTGTCCTGCCCTCGGGGGTTTTGGAGAATTATTTGACGCCCTCTTCTTTGGGGCAGCCCCTCAAATACTGGAACATTGCTATCATGTCCCCCCTGGTCCTCTTCAATGGGCTAGACATACCTAGCCTTCTTGGTGGTCTCTGAGCTTGGCTGTTTTCTTGCAGATGTTTGAAACTAGGTAAGATCATTAGTGGTCATGATGATGATGTTACCAAGCTGGGTTGTGAAACGTCTGCATGAAAGCTACCAAGTTCAGAGAACATCAAGGACCCCACCGTCTTCCTCCCATTCCTCCCCTCCTCTCCACAAACCCCGCTCCCTCTTTCTAACACTGATAATGTTCCCTAGCTGGGTCATGAACTGTCTGTAAGAAAACCACCAAGCTCCGAGGACATCAAGGACCCCACAGTTCTCTTCCTCCTCCCCTCCACAAAACCCCCTCCCTTCTAGCACTGATGATGGCTCGTTGAACATCTGCAAACCCCCTCCCCCTCAGCTCAGCCTTAAGGACCCTTCATTTCAACCCTGAGCTGCAAAATATTCTCCTTTTTTTCCCGATACCTAGCGCCCATGGAATTTAACCTCCAGTCCCTTAATCCTCTTGCTCTTCTCTGCACTCTTTTCTAATGCAGGGGTCTTCAAACTTGGCAAGCTTTAAGGCTCGTGGACTTCAACTCCCAGAATTCCTCCTCCTCCAGTCATGTTAGCTCAGGAATCCTGGGAGTTGAAAGTCCACGGCTCTTAAACTTGCCATGTTTGGGGACCCTTTGCTCTAGGGCCTCAAAATCTTTTCTGTATCGTGGTGAACCAGAACTGTCAGTGGTGGCTACACTCTGCCCAGGAAGAGAAGAAGCCTTCACACCAACCAGTGCCCCTCGCCCAGAGGTGGTATTCAGCCAGTTTGGACCAGTTCTAGTGTACTGGTAGCAGAAATTTTGACTGGTTTGGAGAAGTGGCAAATACCACCTCTGGCTGGCCCCGTCCACCCACCCCCATTCTTACCCCTCCTATATTCTTGTTTTTTAGCTCAGCTGGTTCACGTGACACAGTGAATTGTCACACCTCAGCTGAGCTAAAAAAAAAAAAAAGCACAGCTCCATAGCACTGATAAAGATAACAGATAATTAGAATTGGAAGGGACCTTGTAGGTCATCTAGTCCAATCCCCCGCCCAAGTGGGAGACCTTACACCATTTCTGACTGATGGAAGTCCAGTCTCTTCTTGAAAGTCTCAAGTGATGAAGCTCCCACAACTTCCAAAGGCAACTTCTGTTCCATGGGTGGTCTGTTCTCACTGTCAGAAAATTCCTCCTTATTTCCAGGTTGAATCTCTCCTGGTTCAGTTTCCATCCGTTGTTCCTTGTCTGGCCTTTGGGTGCCTTGGAGAATAGCTTGACCCCCTTCCTCCTCTCTGTGGCAAATATTGGAAGGCTGCTCTCCTGTCTCCCCTGGTCCTTCTCTTCCCTAGACTAGCCAGGCCCAGTTCCTGCAACAGTTCTTTGTATGTTTTACCCTCCAGTCCCCTCATCATCCTGGTTGCTCTTCTCTGCACTTTTTCTAGAGTCTAGGCAAGAAAAACCCAAAGGACACACATATAATAGACCGGGTGAAACTAGGCTCAATAGCAGGAACTGTGAGAGGGATCTTGGAGTCTTAGTGGACTACCAGCTAAATATGAGCCAATGTTGTGCAGCAGCAGCCAAAAAAGCCAATGCAATCCTAAATTGCATCAACAGAGGGAGGCTTAAAACATACAACGAATGGTTACAGGAACTGGGCCTGGCTGGTCTAGGGAAGAGAAGGACCAGGGGAGACATGATAGTGGTCTTCCAATATTTGAGGGGCTGCCCCAGAGAAGAGGAGGGGGTCAAGCTATTCTCCAAAGCACCCGAAGGCCAGACAAGGAATAATGGATGGAAAGTGACCAAGGAGAGATTCAACCTGGAAATAAGGAGAATTTTTCTGACAGGGAGAACCATCAACCCATGGAACAGAAATTGCCTTCAGAAGTTGTGGGAACTTCATCCCTGGAGGCTTTCAAGAAGAGACTGGACTGCCATTGGTCAGAAATGGTGTAGGGTCTCCCGCTTGGGCGGGGGGTTGGACTAGATGACCTACAAGGTCCCTTCCAACCCTGATTATCTGTTAACATCTTTTTTTTATAGTGTGGTGACCAAAACTGGATGCAGTACTCTAGGTGTGGTCTTACTAAGGCTTCATAGAGTGGTATTAGTACCTCCCTTGATCTCGATTGTATCCCTCTGTTAACGCAACTTAGGATTGCATTGGCTTTTTTGGCGGCTGCTGCACAACATTGGCTCCTATTTAGCTGGTTGTCCACTAAGACTCCGAGATCCCTTGGAGAGGGCAGTATGTGAGCCCTTCGCACACACGAGTGAAGCGTGCTCTCCGAACTTTTTTTTTTTTTTTCTTAAACCCACCCCTGCCCTCACCTCTTTCTCCATGGCTGCCTGGTGCTTCTTGACGAGTTTCTCCATCTCCGCCGCAAAATTGTTGCGCTGCGTTTCCAGGTCCTTGTCCAGCCGCAGGCGATGGTCGTCCATCTCGGTCTTCAGCTTGTTCTCCAGGGCCATCAGCTGCTTCTGGTGCTGCCGCCTCATGCGCTTGTAGCCGGACATCTGTTCCCGCAGCTCTGAGTCCTGCTCATGTTCCTGCATCTGCCTGGTTACCTGTCGAGGACCAAAAAAGGCCCCCCCACGGGGGGGGAGGAGGGGCATTTTCAGGCTGGGAAGACCCCCTCCCTCCACATCCCCAAGTGTGATTGACCCAAAGGGGCGTGGCACAAAAGCAACCAAGTCCCAAAAGTAGGTAAAGTCCCTTTAATCCCTGCATCTTGGCCTCCAATGTCCAGTTATCGTTGGCTGGAGAAAAAAACTCTCACAAGAACCGTTTTTAAAGGGGAGAAATTCCGACGCCAGAACCCCGGTAAGACTTGACCAACCAGAATAATTTCACGCTTTGCTTAAAGCAACTTCGCCATTCACAGTTTGCCCTTTTAAACAGTCTTCCCAGCTGCAGCCCATGTAAGGGGATCGGGGCCCTTTCCTCCCCTGTAAGCCATGTTGCTCCCTTATCTGTTCCTCCCTGCGTGCCCTAGGATCCAGAGGGGATGGGCCTGGGTCTTCCTCTGAGTGCCCATCCAAACCTGTGCCCTTCCCCAGTTTCCTCCACAACCACCGGAGCCACACTCCCACTCCCTGTCAGCTGTTCCATCTCTCCCTCGGAGTCAGACTCCAACTGGGGTGTGACACCAAAGCCTCAGCACAAAACCCAGGCCGGAGGAGGAAACGGACCCCAAAAGTTCTTGGGGGGACTGGCAGAGCAAGGAAAAATAGGCCTCCACTTAACAACAGATTCAACTGCTAAGCAAGACAATTAAGTGAGTTGCGCCCTGTTTTACGCCCATTTTTTTTTTTTGGTCGCGGCTATTTTAAGCCAATCACGGCAGTTGTTCAATGAACCGTGCAGTCCTTAAGCAAATCTGGCTTCCCCGTTGACACTGCTTGTCAGAAGGTCGCAAAAAGGGACCACATCTCAGGGACACCGCAACCGTCGTAAAGACGAGTCAGTTGCCAATGCCTTAAGTTTTGATTATGTGACCACGGGGACGCCGCGAGTGTCGCTAAGCAGGACAAACAGGCATCGGTCACTTTTATTCGGTGCCCTTGTAACTTTGAACGGTCACCAAACAAACGGTTGTAAGTTGAGGACTACCTGTAATCCTGCTCTCCCAAACTCTGGGAATCTTGCCCCTGACAAGGAAGGCAACACTGTCCCGGCCACTGCAGACCTCTACCCCTCTGTCCTCTCTGTTGCTCTCTGGTGAATGGTGGTTTGGAGGGTTGTTAAGCGATGGCCCTTTCAGCATCCCCGTGGTCACGTCATCCAAATCCAGACGCTTGGCAACTGACTCATATTTCCGACGGTCGCAGGGTCTTGGGGTTCACATGATCCCCCTTTGCGACCTTCTGACAAGCCAAGTCAATGGGGAAGCCAGGTTCACTTAAAGACCATGTTACTAATTTATCACGCTGCACTGATTCACTTAGCAAAGGTGGCAGGAAGAGTTGTCAAACGGGGCGTAACCCACTTGAGAAATTTCTCAGTTAGGAATATAAATTTTGGGCTTAATTGTGGTTGTAAGTTGAGGACTACCTGTAATAAAGACGGGAGAGAGAGAGAGAGAGAGAGATACAGAGATATAGAGATACAGATACAGAAATAGATGAAATATATAGATGATACAGATACAGAGATGGATGGATAGATAGGTATTAGATAGAGAGATAGATGGATGGATGGATGGATGGATGGATGGATGGATGGATATAGAGAGACAGACAATAGATTTTAGATACATAGACAGATTTTAGAAATAGACAGATTTTAGAAATAGATAATGATAAAATTTTAGATACATAGACAGATGTCACTGCTGGAGAAACTCAACTGAAGATGGTTCTCTGTTCTGAAGGCTGAGTATCTTTTCCACTAGTTTTTAGAAAACTACCCTGTTTCCCTGAAAATAAGACCTAACCGGAAAATAAGCCCTAATGGGTCTTTTTGGAGCAAAAATTAATATGAGACCCGGTCTTATTTTGGGGGAAAGACGGCAGATGTGCAGCCAGGGGGTTGTTTGAAGGGCCCGCCAGCGCAGGGTCCCGGGGAGAGGCCAAGTCCACCCACTCACCAGTGAAGCTGTGCGTATGGTAGCAAAGTGCTCTCGGTTGCGGTAGTGGGATCGGTGGCGCGTTCCTTGGGGTGGAGACTGGGGCTCCGATCCTTTCAGACGAGCATCCGAATCCTCCCTGTAGTTTTCTTCCTCCTGAGGCCGGGAGAAAAGAGCGGAGAAGGTGAAGGCCGTTGGGAGGAAATCAAAGGCAGGTTCCAGCAAGAGAGATTTGGGGGCCAATACCTGCCTCTTGGCTCTCATTCTCCAAAAAAAAAAAAGCCAATCTTATAGTTTAGCAGCCCCCAACTTTTCAGCACCAGGGACCGGTTTGCGTGGAAGGCCATTTTTCCACGGAGTGTGGGAGGCCGGGAGTGCGCAACCGAGGTCCCTCGCGTGCGCGGTTTCGTTTACCTGCTGCTCACTTTCATCTTTGCGGCTTGGTTCTTAACAGGCCACAGAACGGTGCTGGTCCGTGGCCTGGGGCTGGGCCCCCATGATTTAGTTGACCCCCTGAAATGTTAACTTTCTGGTTGAAGCCACAACGGTGTCGTGAGATGATTAAAAGAGAATATTTGTAGGTCAGCGGTGAATCGAGGGGTCCTTGGCACTCTCTGAGCTTGGTGGTTTTCTTGCAGACATTTCATTACCCAAACTAGGTAACGTCATCAATGCTAGAGGGAGGGAGGGAGGCAGGGAGGGAGAGGGGGAGGAGGAGGAGGAAGACTGAAATGTCCTTGCTTCTCCATGAGCTTGATCATTTTCTTGTAGACATTTCATCACTCAACTAGGGAACATCATCAAGATGATGTTATCCGGTTTGGATAATGAAGGATCTGCAAGAAAACCACCAAACTCAGAGAGCACCCAGGTGCCCTCCATCCTCCTAGCACTGATGAGGTTATCTAGTTTGGGTAATGAGATGCCTGCAAGGAAACAAGCAAGCTGGAGAGAACCAAGGATGACATGAGGTCGTCCATCTTGACGTGTGTGAAGTCACTTCCTGTCCCCCTCCCGCTGGCAACTGTCAGCCTTGGAAGCCATATGGAGACCAGGTGCTCCCACACTGCCACAGTTTGAGCCTGGGAAAGTGGGAGGGGGGGAATTTATTGGAGCGTATATAGTTAAGACATAACAACATTCTTTTTCTAATTCAAGGTCATGTTATTTCTGCACCTGGGTGAGAGGACATCCCAAGTTGGGATGGAGGGTGACTGGGGCATGTGAAGTGATGATGAAGGGGTGCAGGGGGTGGATTTTTGTAGTTGTTACTTATTGCAAGGAAGCCCGGAACTTTCAGATTCGGGATTCCCCGGCTGTGCCAGTTACTATCCAAATAAAAGGAACTTGTGAGGAGATGTCTGTCTCGGAGTTACTGGTTGGAGTGGAGGGTTGCTGGAACATTGAGAGCAAATGGTTCTGAAACTCTCACCAAGCGCCGCCCCTGGCAGGGGTTGGGATTCAACCAATTCAGACAAACCGGTAGTTCCGATGATCATTTGACCCCGCCCTCCCAGCCCCTGCCCTCTTCCTGTGCTTTATTTCCTTGTTTTTGAGCACAGCCGATTCACGTGGCAGAGCGGTTTTGCCGAGCATCAGCTGTTTTACACACTGGGGATGCAGCAAAAAGTAAGTCATATAGCTAAAAATGGTCTTTTCTAAATGCCGTGTGTTGTTACTGTTAGGAATAAGTTTGGGTAAAATAATATATATAAACTAGGATAGTAAGTTTAAGTGTGTGTCACTTTAAACTGCAAAGCATGTAATTTTGGGTGCGGTTGTAAAACCGCCATAAGAGGGAGCAAGAGAACCTGCTGGATTGCTGACTATACTGGATTGATGGTTTGCTAACTGCGTGTTCCCTGCTGCTGAGTTTTTTGAACGTCGAAGGAAGAAAGGAGGTTTGACTTCTTTATATCTCTACTGCGAGGAGATATATTACTGGACTGATATTTGTAAGTTTACTAACCTCTTTTTCGACACTGGACTTTGCAACTGAATAATCCCCGAACGGACTGAACTATTGAATGATATATGGACTGTTTTGACTATGCTAAAACTCTTACTGGAATAAACTATTTAACTAGCACAGTGTATCTGTTTTACTGAGTGTAAGCTACAAAAAACCGTTTATCTCACATATTTGCCTGCCTGCCTGCCTGCCGTGCAGGTTCTGCTAGGGTGTATCCCTAACAGTTACCCCAGCTGAATCGCACCACTGCCCCCCCCCCCCCGGCCCAATTACCGGCTTCAGATGGATGACGGAGCTGTTGGACATCACCGTGTGGTCTCCTTCCATGATATCCAGCTCGCTTTTGTCGTCGGAAGCGTCTGGAAGACTGTTGACGCTGCTGCTTTGGCTACTGGCGCTAATGGACATGCTGGGGATGGACTGGTTGCTCCCCACACTGTTCACCGTTCCCGTCCGGCCCATGCTGGAGTCTTGCTCCTGGAGGAGGGGAGAGGGAAGGGTTGAGAGCAGGGGTGTCCCAGGCCACAGGAAGTTGCATGATACAGGTTTCAGGATTCTGGCAGTGACCTCCATTTAAATCGTGAGTCTCGAGCCAAACTTCCAAAGGATTTATTAGGAGTAAACATGTCCGGCACTGCCTGGGTGTAGCCGACTCTGAGACACGTAATTCATTGTCACCCTTGACCCTGGTTTTCCCCACCCCCACCCCTCTAGGCGTATCGTCATTCATATTCTCCAATGGGACACCTCCATAGCCCACAGTCATCAATCATGCTCTCCAGTTAGAATTTTGTGCCGCAGAAACTTCAGTCACCTAGGTACTATCTCTGAAAAACTATGTATGGAAATGCACTTTCGATTTCCGAGAATAACCTATGCTCAAAATTGGAAAATGGAAGGTAATCCCACAGGCAATATATTAATTAGAAAAATTATGGAAAAAGAGAATTCTATATGGTCTGGGAGAATTTATATACTTGAATAGATAATAGGAATAATAGATAACGTATAATGTAAATATGGATAATGTATATATGTATATAGATATAAATAAGGGAAGATGGAAAAAATGATGCTACAATGTATTGCAAAAATTGTAAATACGATTTGTGGTTTTTTTAAAACTGTAAAATTTTAATGAAATCTATTTTTTTTAAAAAGAATTTTGTGCTGCAGAAACTTCAGCCACCTAGTTACTCTCTTTGAAAACCTTTATGGAATGCACTTTCAGTTTCCAAATTGCTGCACTCCCCGCTCCCTTTCCGTTAGCAACTCTAAAAAGACCATAGAAATATGTCATGAGTTGACAACAGGGAGTCCTCGACTTACAGCGGTTCATTTAGTGCCCGAAGTCATAAAAACGGCAATGAAAAAAAGGTGACTTAAAGACCCTTTTTAACACTTATGGCAGTTGCAGCCTCCCCCATGGTCAGAATTCAGGCGCTTGGCCCCCGACTCGTATTTATGACGGTTGCAGGGCCCTGGGTTAATGGGACCCCTTTTGCGTCGTTCCGACGAGCCAAGCTCAAATGGGGGGAGCCGGATTTGCTGAACCGCCGTGTTTCTCCCTTAACGACTGAAGTGATTTGCTTAACAACCATGGTCGTAAAATGGGGCAAAACTCGCTTCACGAATGTCTCACGGAGGAACATAAATGTTGGACTCCATCGTGGTTGTAAGTTGAGGACTTCCTGTATATATACAATATCAGGAGTGATGAATCAGTTGGCCTGAGCCCCGTTGGGATTGATGGGGCCCGTAATGAGCCACGCCTTCCATCCGGAGGGGGTGCCAGCTGCTCTCTACCTTAAGGAATATCTACCCCGCCCTTGGACAGAAAAGAATATTTGCATTCGGAGTATTTATACTCATTATATGCTCAGAGATGGGAGTCCTTGGGCCCCGCTGAGCTTGGCGGTTTTCCTGCAGATGTTTCATGACCCGCTACGTAACCGTTGTGGCCCACCAGCAGCCAGCGGAGCTGGGGGCAGACTCGGACAGTGAGGAGGTTGGGGAGGAACACGGGCCAGTCCTGGAGTCTGGGGAAGACTCTGTGTCGGAGGGCTCTGTATCGGAGGCCGAGATGGGGCCAGGGCCGTCCGACAGTTATCAGCTGCCTTTGGAGTCGGAGATCAGTGGGGAAGAAGAACAGCGGGAGCCTGTTCTCAGTGTGCACATGCACAGAGCTGCCAGAAGAAGGGAAGAATTAAGGATCGAGGGTCGACTTGGGAGTAAGGGCACAAGTGGATGGTGAATGGCCCCTCCCAGAGGGAATAAAAGAGGAACGCAAGGGGAGTGGGGCTTTGCGGGAGACAATTCATTCCGGCATGCTTGCCAAGTAATCGCGGCATCTGAAAGATATCGGCCTGGCAGCTCTCCAGGCCTGATAAAAGCTCTGTAATCTTGAAAGACGGTTGGCTGGGACTTGGTTGGAGAGGAAATTCATTGTAAATCAAGTAAAAGGGGTTTATCAAGTCGGCTTCA